AAAAAGAAACGCACCAAGTTTCCCCCGACGCACTCAGCTTCATCTGCGGTCACTCAGAGGATCCCCCAGACAGTCAACACCAGATTTTTGCTTTTTACAGATTCTTTTGACTTTGTTGTATACTATCATTATTTTTAAATTAACCGTTTGATGAATGACTAATTCACTACATAAAAAAAAAAAAAAAGAAATATCACCTTTTGGCCATATTCCAAACAAAAACTAGTGTATTATTATTTTTTTTTTTTTTTTTTTCATCAACTAGTGTATTATGGTGTATAGACAAATGTCAAGGGTATGTGATGCTGCTGCCTGTCGCAGACCGAAAGCGACCAAACTTATCTTTTTGATTACACACCAAAATATTTAATTGATCGCGTTATTCATTATCCGAAAATATATCTCAAATCCAGCACATGCGGGGCTATAAATAATAGTTTGATCGATCGGCTTGTTCGTCATCATTACACTCAAGGCTTCGAATTAACATCTCTTCGTCTTTATCGATGGAACGAGTAAGAGATTTGGCATCGAAGAAGGCGGCAGTGATATTCACGAAGAGCTCGTGTTGCATGTGTCATAGCATTAAGACCCTCTTCTACGAGCTCGGGGCAAGTCCTGCGATCCATGAGCTTGACAAGGACCCACAAGGCCGTGACATGGAACGGGCCCTCTTCCGGGTATTTGGGTCCAACCCTGCTGTCCCAGCGGTTTTCGTAGGAGGGAGGTACGTCGGCTCAGCTAAAGACGTCATCTCCTTCCACGTGGATGGCTCTCTCAAGCAGATGTTAAAGGACTCTAAAGCCATATGGTTGTGAGTTGTGACTAGTCATCATGCTTCTTACTATAATTAATTCGCCACTAATTCATATTAATTATGTCATTTATTTTCGTGAATGATATATTATAATTTACATATATTTATCTAAGTTTTTGATGAGCTATATACATATATCACACATTCTGCGTGAATTATAATGTTAGAAATCGTAGAAGATTATGCTCGTAGAGTCATATTAGTTAATTATCAGTTGATACGAAGAAACTTTAATGTAAAATCAATTAACACATAAAGGTAATTAATTAATATCGGAAAATAACCTGGATTTAGCATAATATCTTCCGATAATGGGGAAAAAAATGTATGTATAACTAACCGATATACAGATGAATATCGAACTGTAACAAATATGATCGGTTTCGAATCAAACATAAAAGAGAATCCCCCTCATGGAAAGCTATACTACACTCACAAATGACAAAACAATCGGAAAAGTAAGCCAAGAATGACACAGATGATGGTTAACATATGCGTGTGATTCACGCGTGCGTCCGGCAAGAAAGACATTTCGAAAGAAGTGAATCAAACATTAGTGTAAGTGTGAAAGAAGAATATATAAAAAGAAAGATGGATGATTTTCTTTGGCAAGT